TTTTACATAATTTACTCAAATATTTCTCATCAAACATATTTGAGTCATTTGCTAACACATGGAACCAAATCTCTGCTATGTCTCCAAGATACAATGAGGTCGTTTTCACTTTATTGTCTTTTGGGATATTGAAAACATGAAAATACTTGTCCCATCGTCTTATCCATGATCTTGAATTTCTTTCCTCAAAAATAGGAATTTCAATTTTTTGGGACGTAATTACCAATTTGGTTACCCATCTGATTCGTACTACCAACCCCAACTTCCTTGGTTCGCAAATTTGACAATAATCCTTTATCAATATTTAAGTCAAGGCGGAAGAACTTACTCGAGTGGTTGTTTCACCAATCCACATACTATTTTGCACGATTTTAGTTAGCATTTCCAGTTGTTGGATCTAAAATTCGAACTTTTTTTATCCATCTCACGTATATTTTTCTTTAACATATATTTTCCGTCAGTCATAAAACTTACAAAAAAATTTTGTCAAAATCGAACTACTGTGATACTAAGTTGTTAGAATCCAATTTTAATATTTAATTTACCAAAATTAAAATTTGAAAAAACATAAAAAAAAATTAGAAATTTAAAAGATTGGGGCATAGTGAAATTAAGAAAATAACGTGGGCAGAATAGAAATTTTAGAAAAAAAAAGAATGACTTAAAGAGGAGAGAAGAGAGGATGTCACGGAGAGAGAGAAGAAGACAGTTTGAGAAAGAGATAATCTCGAGGAGAGAGAGAAAAGTCTTTAAAGAGAGAGAGAATGAAGATATGTGAAAGGGGTAATATTTTAAAGAGAGAGTGGTTTTAGAGAGAGAAAAAGCTATTACAGAGAGAGAGAAAAAGCTATTACAGAGAGAGAGAAATGAAAAAATAGAAAGATAACAAAGAAGAGAGATAGAGATTAGGATAGAGAAAAGATAATTTCATTTGAGATTCAATTCTAAAAAATTACATGATAATTTTAATTTACAATCTTTTATTTATACATATGAAATAGTACATTAAACATTGTTTCTAATAGTCAATCATTGCCATACACCAAAAGCTACCATTCCAAGGAGTCTTTTCGTCCTGTCAGTCGCATCACATGGAGGAAGAAAATGCACAGTCAACTTTGTTGAAGAAACAGTTCCAAAGAGTCGTGCACCCTGCTTCCAACTATATATATGTATATATAATATATATATTTCTAAATTTTTTTTTTTTGTCTGACATAAATTGATTAGTTATGTGTCAGAGATATAAATTATGACAGAATTCTATACATTGAATAATTAAGAGTAAGAATTGAATGGTACATGATAAAATAGTATGATAAAAAAAAAGAGGCATATTTGGAGTGAAAGAAAATGAGTTTGAAATACAATAGTTAGTAACCCTTTCACCAATCAAACAATACTAATACTATATCCAATATACTTTGAGCTTTTGTGTGTGTGTGTGTGTGTGTGTGTAGAGAGACAGAGAAGGGATAAAAGGAAATAATATGAGCACCAAAAATCGTACTGTTTTCCGGTAGTTGTCTACTTTATTGTTTGATTTGCACCATAAAGCTGGGTGCTAAAAATAAAAGAAGTAACACGAGTTTCCAGTAAAACTTTGGAAAAGAAATATGCATGTTACAAGAAGCCAGATTCTTCATTAATTAGGTTCAACCACAACTTCAGGGAAAGCCATGAAGCCTCCCAGCAACTTCGTCTTAGTTAGGCCCCAATATTCATCTCCCAAGGCACTTACGTTTCTTCCAGATTACATAGTTTTAAATAAGCCATGTTAGATTCCCACAATGATCGATTTGAAGTCATTCTTTATTTGTTCTAGCTACTAGTTTATATCTAAATATAAATATATGCACGCACACACATGTATGTATCCGTGATCTTGCCTGCAGAAGCCTGAATTAATAAATATCACAGCCACGGCGTTGTCTCCAAACCCACCAAACGGCTCTCTACAAGATCTGAAGCTCATTAGTATTGCTCGTCTGCACTTCAAACCTAGATTCTCCTGCCCTTCAACATCCCTCCTACCCAACAAGATATAGAATTTCAAGCCAAAATGAGCATAGTCTTTCCATGCTAATATATCAATTATAGTAGATGACCAAATGTAAATACTACTATTGCTTTACTACCTTTTGTTCTACCCAAAAAATTAAATAATAGAACCCCAAAGCTACCGCATAAAACCACAAGATAGAATAAAAAGTCAAATGAAAATTGTTCTACTCTGTTCTTTTAGGCCAAAATAATGTGGTGTCTAAAGAGAGGCAATACCTATTTATTGTCTTCAAATAAAATTATAAACATTATCGTTGCAGCTAAAACCTCTCACACTCACAGCAGCAAGAACGATATTCAATATCATACATAAATTATGTAATAGTAATTATTAAATTTTTTATTTCTGACAGTTACACATTTCACTTTTGCAAGAGTCTTAAAGTAGTGAGTGAAGATAAACCTGCCGTCAAAAATGAGAATAGCAGTCACCTGGCATTGACGTGTCAATTGATTGATCTCTGTGATCATGCTTGTGGCTCGTTTCCTGTCCCAAAACTCGGTCGCCTTAGAATCTGGTGATTTCCGGCTTCAATATTATATAAATATCTTTACAAACAAACTACATATATTAAACTTTCCCAATGCATCAAAACAACTGGAAGAATATTAGCAACTATCCTCACAGTGCTAACAGTTCGTTCCTCAGAAAGACATAAGCCTCTTGTCTCTGGCATCTAATAATGACCCTGGCCAATTAAGAAAATACAGTAGAAGACAATACAAAATGCTTAAGATTCAAGAATAGATGAATAATACTTGCAAAAAAAACCAATACACAACAACCAGTGAACA